TTTTATTTCTTTGTACATCAAGGTAAATGAATAGCTTAATTATTCTTTTTTATGATTGGTGAGCGGATTGCATTTTTTAGACAGAAAAGGTTGACTTGGAAAACACACTCATTAACGAAACCCAAAGGCAGTCAAAGGTCGATGTTGGAGATTCTCTCACATTAAAGCGTGAAAAGTTTAGCGGTACGTTTTGCTCTTCCTAACTAATGTTGCTTCACTTGTGGCAGTACAGCAAACACACCCTACATAGGTTTCTGATGGGTGGCATCGCTACCACCTGCTTGAATTAATTAGTACTATATATCTGGGTTTCCCATCTGTGAAGGCCAGGGGTGGCTTACTCCTACAGTACTAATGAGTCCTTTGGGCTGATCCTGAAAAGATTTCAAGAAATAAGAGGCCCGGTTCAGTTTCATGACCCCATGGATGATCAAGCTTCTACCCCTATATAATATCACAGAGACGTAGAGTTTTTTTCTTTCTTCCCCCTCTTTTTTATTACAAGGGAAGCACAACACACACTCTTTCTCGTTAAAGATAGCTCCAGGAACAAACTTTTGAATGATGTTAATAGCATGACATCTTTTCCAATGTCAATACCAGCTATGGCGACTTGTAGCAGCTTCCATGTAACTTTATCAATTAGAACAGCTATAACTACATTCTTTTCACAATTCTTTTTGCAAAAGGAAAATAGACCACTCCTGCGCCTGAAGAAACGGACTAAACAGAGGAAGAGTTGGAAAAGGAGAATATAATATGTTCGATACATTCTTTGTTACCCATCCCTCTAATCATTTCACTCTTGTGATATTATACACAGATGGAAGCCCGAGTGGTTCTTCTGACGATCAAGACCGGCACGATCAGTCTGACGATGACAATGATGCATTCTTTGATACAAGTGATATTCTTTCGTTAACTTCTTCCAGAGAAAAAGATTCTGATTCTGATTGTGAGGAGACTTCTACTGACGAACGTGATGCAAATTCGCTCACTGGATTTGCGAGATCCAATTATCCCCAGGTGATGCGACGAAAGAAATTGCCCGATCCCGTTGAGAAAGAGAAGGCAGCCAGCCTCTGGTCAATAATTAAAGATAATATTGGGAAGGATCTCACTAGCGTTTGCCTCCCAGTCTACTTCAATGAGCCTCTGTCCTCATTACAGAAATGCTGTGAAGACCTCGAGTATTCTTACCTTCTAGACCGAGCATTTGAATGGGGTCAAAAGGTTAGTTTCCATTCTCGAATTAGAGTTAGTTATATGGGATTGTTCACAAAGGCAATTGTTAAAGCCCAAAGTTCCAAATGTTAGTGCAATATTTTTGACTGCGACATCAATCCATTGTATTGATACACAGGGTAACAGTCTTATGAGGGTGCTAGATGTGGCTGCATTTGCAGTTTCAGGGTATTCTAGCACTCTTGGGAGGAGTTGCAAACCATTTAATCCACTGTTGGGTGAGACGTATGAGGCAGATTTCCCAGATAAAGGCTTTCGCTTTATCTCTGAGAAGGTATAGTACGTAGTGCAGAAACTTGGCATTTACTCCTCAAAAAGAAAAATATCAACGAAAATGAAAAGATTGAACCAATTTTCTCTTTGAATATGATACCATTGAGATAGGTCAGTCACCATCCCATGGTTGTCGCATGCCATTGTGAGGGAACTGGCTGGAAATTTTGGGGTGACGGCAATCTAAAAAGTAAATTCCGGGGTCGTTCAATTCAGCTTGATCCTGTCGGTTTACTGACCATCGAGTTTGATGACGGGGAAGTCTTTCGGTGGAGCAAGGTATTGTCATAATAGGATTTACTTGTGCATCTCTTTTTATGAACATCTACTGACTACTCGAACCTAATTTTCGTACGATTTAAATAATTGTCTAGCAATAGTTGCATTAATTACCTATATCTTCTAAGATCTGGCTTCTGATTGTCTAATATTCTATCATCAGGTAACAACATCCATTTACAATCTGATTTTAGGAAAACTGTACTGTGATCATTATGGGACAATGCGCATAGAAGGGAATCGTGAGTATTCTTGCAAGCTTAAATTTAAGGAGCAGTCAATAATGGATCGAAACCCTCACCAGGTACCCCTTCTAATACTCCTAGTTTCTATTTTCTTGCTTTTGGATGTGGGGAATCAAGGAAATTTAAATTGTGTTGGATTTTCTTAGAAATGTGTTACCTGGGCCTTTCTGACTTTAACTGCGTTTAAGTTAAAACAGCTTCATGTGCTGTTATATTTCACTCTTCCTCATGCGCTTTACTTTGTAGCAGTTTGGACTTCCTTTTCTTTTCCTCATGTAGCTATCGACTTGAATAAATCCTATAAATTTGATGGAAGATATTGTTACATTTGGAATTATCTTGGCAAAGAACAATTGATCTACTGAGTACTTGATCATGCGGCGTAATATAAATTGTGGTGCAGGTGCAAGGCGTGGTGGAAGATAAGAATGGTAAAACAATAGCAACTATATACGGGAAATGGGACGAGAGCATGCACTGTATAATTAATGACAATTCTAAAAGGAAAAAATCCAGTGGGTCGTCTAAATCATGTCTGCTGTGGAAGCGGAATGAACCACCCCTGCACACTACAAGATACAATCTTACCGAATTTGCTATTGCACTAAACGAAATCACACCCGGACTCAAGGCAAGTGCTTTTCTTGAATGCTTTCGCAAACATGGGAAGCATTGTCCTCTGTGGTTGTGTCAAGAGTTTGTGACATTAAAATTGTCAAACAGGGGAAGTTGCCGCCCACAGATTCGAGGCTGAGACCCGATCAAAGGTTTTTGGAGGATGGAGAGTATGAAATGGCCAATACTGAGAAGTTGCGGCTGGAGACGAGACAGCGACAGGTATGATATGGGCATATGAAATTCACTTCTTCTTTTTTTTTTCGGGGTGTTTTTATGCAGTTTTTAATGCAAGAGTGAGTTAAATTAACAGGCAAGAAGGATGCAAGAAAAGGGTTGGAAACCAAGGTGGTTTGTAAAGGACAAAGACGGCATCTACCGTTATGCTGGCGGGTACTGGGAGGCCAGGGACAAGGGCATCTGGGAATCTTGCCCTGACGTATTTGGCCAAATTCCAAATGATACTGATCTTGATCCAACTTCACCTTCCTAATTTCTCAGCTCTTTCGCCCTTGTATGTAATTTAGAGGCCACGCTAAACTAACAGCAACATGGTACAGATAAGAATTTTTGATGAAGCATCTTCTCAATCAAGTCTCAATTTTTTTGGCAGTTCACAGCTCCATTTAGCGTTGGGCAGTTCAGATGATATGGCACAGTCTAGTTTTATTTGTTTGGTTTTTTGTTGCATTATTATATTTATAAAAATTCATTAAATACTTGTATTATATCTATATCCATTCTGAAGATGCCTTGTCCCTTTCCTCGCTCCGGTGCGGTCGTTCGGTGACTCCCTCCTGCAGGAAACAGATCAAAAGTTTTCAATTTTAATTTCCATACCTGTCTCCTTACTTTTTGGACGCCATTACTATGGCACTGTAAATTTATTACTTTTTTTCTGCCGGCACGTAAATTTGTCCGCATTTTCATATTCCATAATGAATTTAAATTTGAAGGGGGTGATACCTAGAACATTGATTGATTCTTTCCGCTTAACTGTTTAATTTTATTTAATTTCAATATATAATGAGAAGCTCTCGGAAATCTTGGCCTAATGGGTTGGGTTTGACCTATATTATTTATAGATAAGTTGTGGTCCAACCCCTCTAGACCTCCAGGTAATACCCAAAAAAAGCATCTTTGGGCTTAAAAATACCGGGCTTGGCCTATTTATTAAGAGAATCATTTTCATTTCAACAAATTAATAAAAATACTCTTTTCATAATCTAACTTTATATTAAATTTTAATCTCGCTCCTTGATAAGTATGAGGTCAATTCTTTCATCATAACAGCCAGTCTCGAATAATGATTTTTGTCCTAATCATTATTATTTTAAAAAAAAATTAATATATTAGCATATTTGTGAATATCTTATTAACAATCAAAATTTAACACTGTACAAAATTATAAGACCAAAAACGAATTCCTGTTTAGAGTCAAAGTGAAAAACAAGGCTTTTGCCTAAGAAAAAAGTGGAGAGAATAAAGGAACACGTCATGGATCATTGATGAAAAGTTGTATGGCGTTGGGAAGCTGAGGCATGTGAACATGCCTGGTTTCCACGTTGCTACTATGGTTACCATGAAAAAATGTCCCACTCTGGGGAATACCGTCCCTCTATTCTCCCTTTTTCTTTTTTTCCCCCCCTTCTAAATTTGCTTTTCCTTAAACTTCTCAAGACGTTAACATCTTCAAATTTCACAACCGCCAGTGAGACATCAGTAAGTGGCACTCAAAGTCTGAGCGTGGCCATTTGTTTATAAATCTTACATCATGGTACACGTCCCCAAACCTACTCAATTTTGAAGTGAAATCAAAGACACTTCTTTCAAACGACAACGACTGCTTCTTTATTTCTTTTGTTTTGGTTCCTCTTTCTAAGGAAAAGGCTCAATAATACTAGTGCCATAATAATAATAATAATACTACATCCGGTCCTAATTATAAGAGTTAGTTGACTAATTTGAGGGGATTAAAGAAGTAAGTTGAGTTAGTTATTTGTCTAAATAGGTGTTAGCTTTTCTAAAATATCCTTGCTAATCAAGTGCATTGACTAAAACTATCATTGTTAGAAGGGTTACTTTGGAAAAAAATGTATAAATATGAAATGCAAAGTGAATTGAAGTTTTATATTGAGGATCAAAATAAAAATCAAACAGAATTTTATATTAATAACAGGAGGAAGTAATAGAAAACAAACTGCCTCGCAATTACGGAACAGAGATGGCCTTGATTGGCCCCATCTTAAGGCTAATCTAGTCTCCTCTGGGCACGTCTTCTCTAAACAAAGTTTATTTTGTTCAATATTTCCCAAACTCATCCCCAATATATTCATGTGTGGGGCCGTCTTAAATTTCTTTGACCAATAAACTTAAAATTAACGACGCGCCATTCCGCTGGGGGCTGCATTGTGGTTAAAAAAGTCAAAGAAAGCAGCGGTATCTGTTTTTAAAAAAATTGTCGATCTTTTGATTCAGTATTTAAAAATTTAAGAACAAGATGCGTATTCATGATGAATGTTAATAAAAGACTGGACACGTGTAATTAACATGACTAATTTTTATTGGTCCAAGGAGGAAACATGCGAACCTTCTCCCTCCTCTGACGAGCCCGGCTTTGATAATAATTATTTAACATTGAGTATAAAGTTGACCCATCCACCGAATGGAACAAGGAGATGGGGTGGTAGTGCCTTGAATGATATAGAAAAACAGGCAACAAAAAAGGCGCAGAATCATGGCAATGTCTTTTGTGAGCTTCACCTTTTAACTTTCCATCTCTCTCAGCATCCAAGCCTGAGAATAACAACAAATATACTATATCTCACAGACTCATACTAGCCTCGCCTGTCCCGCTTCTTTCATTACATTCCTTTACAGTGTGTCTTATTTACTCCCTCCACTCTCTTCATCCAATCCATTCCTATCGGCGCCCTCTCTTCTTCTGAGAAGCGCCGCCGTAATGGGTTGTGATGATTATTCCCATCACAGATCTCAATCCTCTCAGCTCCTCCAACCTTCTTCACCATCACCTCCACCGTCATCATCATCATCGGAGTCCAGTTTTCGGGAGCTCGAGGATGCCTTTCTCCAGGTTCATCAATTATCCGCACTTTTCTTCGATGTCTACTAATGGCTGACATTTATTTTTATTAGCTAAGATCAATATCTCATCACTACCATTTCGTTTTCCAATTCTTTTGCAGACTCAAACAAGAATTTGGCTCGGAGAAGTGTTGCAAATAAGATTAGATGAGAATCTCGTTATATCTGAAGTTCTTGCTGATGGAGAATTGCTGTATGTTGCCCACTAATAATTGTCATTTCGCCGTCTTGTGTTTGTGAGGATTAAAACCCAAGAGGAGTTTGAGCAGGAAACTGTCATATTGGCATTTGATGTGCTTCCTAACTAGTTTCATTGGTTTGTAGGTTTCAAGTTTCAAAAGTCGTGTGGAGATTGCTGCTGGCAAAGCATACGGATTTAAGGCACATAAAAGCGTTCCAGCATCTGCCTTTTGCTTCCAAGGAGAACAGTGGCAGATATAGGCCTTATTCTAATGTTGATTCATTTCTGAAGGTAAGTTCCTTTTTCTGATAAATTTTCTTACAAGAAAATATATTGTTGTTGTACGGAGAATTACATGGAAATCAGTAACACCTTACAGCGGAAAACCTGCCAGCCTGCTAATAATAATAATAATGGAAACAACTTATATATAGTTGATAGGAAAAAAAAAATTCAACATAAATGTAAATAACAGTGCATTATCATTAGTCCCAAATTAGCAATTTTTCTTGTTATTTCTTTTGAGTCTATAGAAGGTTGATTGCACGGACAGTGGTGCTGGCATTTCTGATGTGAAGCATGTGGCCTGAGCGGCTCATCTGCATTTTTAAGCATGAGCATATGGGTAGACGAGCGTCTAAGTCTTCTTTTGCTTATTTGTGTTTTAATTTCTTGATTCTTAATGCAAACAGATATCTGAGGTGTAACATTTTATAATATGTAGATATGCAAAATCTTGGGATTGACTGGCATAGACCTCTTCTCTCCGTCAGATGTTGTAGAGAAAAGAAATACTCGAAAAGTTTGTATGTGTATACGCTCATTCTCAAAAAAGGCAAGGTCGAAGAATGTAAATGTAAGGCAATTGTTCATACCTATCCATGTAATCAAATCTACTTGATCTTACAGCTTACTATCGTAATTGTCTCATTCGTGCTAAACTTAAGGAGAGTGGTGACAGGTTCCAGATTTTGACGTTGTCTCGTGCACAATAACTATGCCTAAGAATATAGTTGGATGCCTTCGTAGAAACTTAGAGTCGTCTCAGAGTAGCCTTGCAGATTCTCCTACTTATTACATGCGGAAGCAGGCAGAAGCAAAACACAGGCAGGTGTGTCCTTGCTTAATGAATAGCCATCTACATTTATCATACATATTTAGTTATTCTTAATTCTTAACCATGGTGTTTTTGTAGGGTTACTCTCTCGCTGCCTCCCCCACGGACCATGAGACATATTTGGAAGAGTATGATGCCACAGAAATAAATCATGCAGAACTTCGATCTGAGGCTGAGTTTGAACTTTTAAGTTCAGAGGAATCATTGCATCCTTGCTCGGAGAACAAAGAACATGATTGTGGTGTTGCTTGGTCATCATCTCCTCGTGACAATTCACATTTAGATACGAGAGTTAAACATGTTCAAGAAAGTGGCTTTATGGGCTTCGATTATTCTGATCAAAGCTTGTTTGGAGGAAGAGATGCTTTGGAGCAAGTGGCAACCTCAAATCTTGAAGAAGATAACACACCAAATGTACATCACAGTGCCAGTTCTCATGGTTCAAACTCAACCCCAAGGAGTATTGAATATGATAGGGGATATCTTGATATCTGTGACAATATGGAAGTTATGAGAAATTGGTCAATGGAACCAGTCAACTTGAGTAGCAAATTTGATGCGCGGGACAATTTGGAGACCCTTGGGTCTGTTGAAATTCACAATGACAGGATGGATCAGTGGAACCAAATAATCGGATATAAATCGCAGGAAGCAATGGAACATAGGAAAATGGCATATGAGATCGCTCCTAATGCTAATTATTTACTCTCTGTTGAGAAATTTGAGGGCGACAACAATTCTCTATATTCTAATGTTCACGAGTCCGAGGATTTACTGTCATTTCAGTCTTATCTGTCGTCTGAGTTTTGTAAATGGGATCAGAAAGGAAAATGTGCTTTGATATCGCCCAACGATCGTAGAAGCTTTACCTCATCTCTTCCAAAGGTGGGATCCTGTGAGGAAAATACTCCTTGTGGAAGACATAAATCGTCTGAAGTCAAACCCTCTGAGCCAAACGAAGAGGAGGTTGAAGTGAAATTAGACATTGATGGTGAACAGACAAACAAGGATTGTCAGGTTGTTCTATCCAATGTTGAAGGCGTGGATTACCATGAAAAGTGTCCCTCTAATGAGGAAGACGCTAATGATAATGACACAGGTGACAGAGGTGAGAGAGTATTATATGTGGTAACCGATGAGGATGTATCTCACACACGATCCTGCTTACCAAACGAATGCTCGAAGCTTGAATGCGAAGATGATGATCAAGAATATCAACACGACATGGATCCCACATGCCATTCAAAATATACCATTGAGACGCGTCTTCCGGTAAGATTTGGTCCCATTTCAGGCATGTTTCTGTAAACTCGTAGGTTATATAAAAGTTGAAAATTTCTTTTGATTTTTTTGTCTTGTAGGAAGAAATAACACCAGAAGATGAGAAGGCTTCTGATAATTTGGCTCAGAAAACAGAGGAAAGTGTAGAAAGACCAAGAGGGAAACCTCAAAACAATCTAATGTTAAAATCAGTCTTGGGTGGCACTGCTGCGGTTGGCATGTTGGTCATGTTCTTGCACTTTAGGTTTGTATTGAGCTAGCTTATTGTGGTCGTTAAGGATGATCTGATTCTTGAAGACCTTTGATTTATTTTTTGCTGAACATATTGTATTGTAGGAGGAGCGGCAGAGAAAAAGATCCAGCATCAATTAAGACATCATCCGGTGACACTGCGAAAGCTAAGGTTCAGAAATATCCATCTCAGAAGACGCAAAGGAGAAGTAGAACAGAAGGAGTTTATCCGGCCGAAAAGCTCAAGTTGGGCGGTTAGAATGGGGATCGCTTCTGAGTTTAACGTTGCCGGTTCAATTCTGAGAATTTCAGGCAGTCAGAAAAATCTGTTTTGTTTTTTTGGTCAGTCAGAAAAGTCCTGTTAAAAGTAGTTATCGTGGAGATCGAAATTTCCAACCCCACTCATCTTCAAATACTGTTCCTATCAGAAATGTTTCAAAACAAAATGTACATCCATAAAATATTTCCAACTTCTAAATGAGTTTTGCGAAAGGTTCATATAGAATTTAGATGTTTGTAAATCCACCATTTGACTTTTTTCTCACTTCATTATAATGTGAACCCGCTTTTCTTTATTATTATTTTTTTTGCCAGAGTTATTTCTTGATAGTTGATGCATTACTACAGAAAGAGCCATAATTCAATAATTTAGAAATGAAGTCAATTTTACCACCCATGGTGAAAAAGAAATCAATTTTGTCATCCACTTTATATTCGATTTTAATTAATTAAAATTACTTAATTATTCAAATAATTAAACACATTGATATGGTTGAATCATACCCACCAAAAAGAACCATTCAAAGCCACATAATTAATGATGAGTGATGTAAAAAATTTTCCCCCTCATACATCAATAGGTTTTTCCATGTCTTCAGAAGAACATAAATGAAGCTTACACTGTTCTATTTTTTGGTTCAAAATAAATAAGACACAAAACAACTCAAGCGGCGCCCTGCCTTCCTAGACTTGAACAAAACTGCAAGCCATGTTCACTGAAGTCATAGAAAACTCTCCAATAGTTGAGTATGTCAAGAGGGAAAAAAAAAATATTAAAATGAACTAACATATTCATTAAAATTGTAAAATATTCTATTCCACGATGAATCAGCTATCCTTCTCTCAAAATGCTCCGCTCGTGCGAAACAACGAACATAGACTTACACAGGGCATCAAACTCTTGTACATACATATTCAATGATTCTATATTATTCAGATATTACACAATCTATAATGGCCAGCATCTACATCTCTATCAAAAAAAATAAAAAATAGGTTTCGGATTTGGCAGCGTTCAAGGACGATATCAAATCCAAAGCAGCCCATGCAGCAATGCAGAAGGGGACAGGCACAGTATCTTCCCATTGCCTATTCACTATGAAAACACAATCCACTCTGCTTCAACCCATGTGGGCAATGCAATCATATTTCTAGAGCCTATTTTCCCATAAATCTACCCTGGGGCCATAAGTGTTTTGTACAGTGCTTCACCAAAACTGAACTCTCTAATGAAGCCAGGGATACAACAAGTGCAGCCATGAATTGGCCCTCAATGGTTGCAGCACGAATATGGTGTATGTACAAACTATCTGACCATGTCCACTCGGTCAATTACATCCAACGCTCTCTCCTTGTCAATACCAAAATCAATCAATGGAAGCTTAGACGAAATCCTATTAAACGTTGATTCCCTGCTTTTAACTGTTGATGAATGGCTGCAACTCCTTGTCAGCCTGCTGGTCTTCTCCCTTGCAGTATTCATGCTGTCAAAGTCCAAGCTCTTACTGATTCCTCGGATTCGTGTGTTCTTAGTTACTTCTTGCAGCAGCTTTTGTTCATCAATTGTTAGCAACGGAAGTTCAACATCCTTAGGTTGCTTATCTGTCTTTTGCAGGGTAATGGCAACAGCTGGCTTGTACGTGGACTTTGTTTCACCAAAATCGTTGCTAGCCTTACTTTTGATGGCCAGGCGATGAAGCCATAAAAGAAGTTCGATAATGTAACCTTCAACTTTGTCCTTGTCTGCATGGTGAAATGTCTCGATCCGCATCACCTCAGTTTGCGTGTTCTTCCGATTTACCTCAGAGCTGCAAGAGCAAAACAATTACTTTAAAAAAAAGGGGGAAACAAACAAGTTACAGATGCTATAAAGGAACTGACTTTATACTCACCCAGTGTTGGCCCACTCCCCAACCCAACCAAAACCATGATGCGCCCTGAGTCAATTTTACAGCAATCAAATGCCAAGAAGTTATAATCAGATTATACATGTATTAAATGAACTGATGCTTATGAAATCTTCTTATACAGAGGGAGAGTAATTATTTGAAGAAAAGCAAAACACCATACTTGGCTGTGTTCGTGGCAACTGGAACCAGCCAGTGCAATGTCTTCTCCATTTCATCTTTGATCTCTTTCACAGTCATCTTCGGAATACAAAGGAAAAATAATTAGTAGAGGAGACACGCTTGAGACGGAGTGAACAACTAAGAATAGGAGAAATTGATTTCACAGTAGGTTAAGCATTTCTCATTGGTTTTTAACAACACAAGGATGTATGCTCTGGTGGCAAAAGAAACTTGCAGCATATAAACAAACCTGGTTTGCAACATGAACAGATGGCAATTTGGAACGCAAAGCCAGTTTTACATTAGGAGGCAAGCTCTGATATAATGAATCCCTTGTATTTGCGGGCATAGAACTGGATCGCGCAACCTGCCATCATCGACACCAACACCGCACGGATCTATTTATTGCAGCTAAACAAATTTTTCCCGGAAACTAAAGCAGCATGGCACACTACACTAAAATCAGAAAGGTTCCCTAGGATACAGATGTGATCAAATCCTAGCCTGATGTTTTGGTTGTATTGGAGTTTAAAAGATATTAAATTAAAAGAGAATTTTGTGGCTGCCGAGTGCAGTCCAATCCTTTGATGATATGGGCAATTCATGCATACTTATCGAGCATTATCAAGGGAATAAAACATAGGATCATCTTCCCAGGCATATAAAACTATCAAGCATCAAAGCATCAGGTAGTTAATTGTTCACATGAATATATCTTTTGAGTCAACAAAACCATCGAATAGAAATCTAGGTTCATAGAATTTTGGATCAAGAAAACTGAGTTATCATGTCATGCTGGGGAAGTGTTTACTAGGAGAAACTGATGGGGAACAAACTAAATCCAATGTTTAAAGGCAATAAGAGATTTCAGTCACTCTTGATTAATAGAACTATCACCTGGCTTGAAGAAAAGGCACATAATAGAATAGAGACCTATAATGAAAAAAATATCTCATAGAAGATAAACTTACAAGGGTATCAATTTGGAGCACTATATTTGCATAGTGCAAAGCAAGGCCTGCAGGACCCAATCTTTGACGACTGCTGCTGTATCCAATTACTGGCTTATGAGGATCTACAGTAGTTTATGGATAAAAAGATTTACAATTAAAAAGAAAAATACAGAATTCGATAAATAGTGTTTCCAAGAGTGACTGATGAGAATAAAACCAGATAATGCTCTCCCTGCTTCCCCCTCAGTCTCTTAACATCTTCACCCCTTCTACCATTGGTTTTCTCCCCTTTTAACTTTTAAATGTTCCAAGAATAATATATTTAGCTCAATATGACTGAGATATGCACAATAGTTAAGATAACATTAACTGAATCATACATGGATTGTTATGATAACAACAGATATTGATTATAGTTGGATTAAAAACGTTATATGAAATCAGCACAACGGGTTGAAACCAACGGGTATATACCATCACTGCCAAAGATATTGTTCATCTCCAAATGCAAAAATTGGACAATGTCAACAAGCTTCTCCATAATCTGTAATCCATAAGAATATGAATCATACTGACTAATAGATGAGAGAAACATATTCATCTAAAGTAGCAATCTAAACTCTTAAGTTACCTCCTCCAAACTTCTGGACCAGAGTGACTTTTTCTTCAACTGTTTAACTTGCTTCTTTTGAGTTTTAAGTTCCGCCCTCAAGATTGGAAGGCTATCATCTGTATGTAGGGAGACATTAAGGTCAAAAGTTACATATAAAAGATTTTCCTAAGATAATGCTCCATAAAGTCAAACATGTCAATGAGAGTGAATCTGTTCAACTGTATCTTGTATTTGAATTAAACCCTTCAGGCACTCGATAATATTCTTAAAAAGTCCATGTAATTCTGATTTCAAAAATTGAAACAAAGTCCTCAGAATACTGGCCATTGCATGCCATAAGATTCTAGACATTACAATCTAGGACTCTGCTACTACAGTGAGGAACCAAAAGTAGATGCATTGGCAAGTAGCTACCACGATCTCTTCAACCGTCATTATTCTTGTATGCTGTATAGGGATGACAAGCTATGAGAGCCAATGGCAGACTTAGTAGAAATTTTATCAAGAATTTTTTTTAAAAAAGGGGAAATCGCTGGAGCAGATCAATCTAGTTTACATTTGTTTCAGAGCCCTTGGAGAATCAATTCTTCAACTTAAATGTCATCTTTAATTTTCATAATAGTTATAGTTTCCAATGGAGTACTAAGAAATCCATAAATCCCCCTGGAAGACCACCAGAAGAAACATTTTAATAAACGCTCAAAACTAAAATGGCAGACCGTCACATACTTAAACAAACAAGACATGAAATAGTTCTTCATTGGTCAGGTAATATTGATGTGAAGACAGTGAAACAGTAAACAACGCAAGAAGGCATCAGTTAGCCAATTACTCAACGGCAGTCTTGTCCAAGTTTCAGATATATGAAGCCAATTACTCAACGGCAGTCTTATCCAATTAATCTTCTCTTGACTTCATATTCTTTAGCAAGCCATGCTTCTTCAATAAAAGATTTCTCATCACAAACAAGAGTTGCATATCGTGTCAAAGATAGCATATATGATCACCTTTTTGAGTTGCACCAGAACTATCTTCTTCTTGACGCCTACTAAGATAGTCTTGCTGAAACCTATCCAGCGCATGTAATTCGTGGTATAACTCCTGAGGCAATAAAGAATTATATTAAACTCTTATTGAGGATTATGCCATGCATTAGTAAGGCCCGAGAGAAACATAAATAAAACGCTAACTTGAATAAAGAGCAAAAGCATGTGACAATGAAATCTATTTGAAAACCTTGATTATAAAATTTCATAAAATTGTACAATGTTGAATGTCCCTAGATCATACATACATGAGCATGAACAGACTAAGAAAGGCACCACAAGGTGCACAAAATATAGCATCTCCTTCCTCATCTTATTTAATCAGACTATCATATGGAGTACTACATTTAAAATGACTCAAGGAATATCAATTCATCCCCATAATAAGAAGCAAGTTGTACATAAATGATTAAAATATATCATGAAAAGAGTACATACAAGATCCAACCATCATAAATTCGTCTCATTTCAAAAACATTTGTATCATAATGAAATTAAGACGCCCATGGCTTTTGTCCAGGACATATTCCATATCAGTTTCAGTTTGCTTCATTACAAGACTTCATATTAATGTGGAACGCAACTCACAATATCTAGTTATATGCATTGACAGATTATACAAAAGGAAACACATTTGTATATATCAATTCCCCATTCACCTTTGCACGTAACTCATGATGCATTTGAAGACATCAACTAGGCTATTGATGGAAGTGGAGGAGAGAAGGGGGAAAACACTCTTTGCAACTGATATGTTATATATGTACACGACAAGCAGTTGAAAAGCTTTCAGTCAATTCTAACAAAGTAGATATCAGCTCTGGACTTAATATTTGATATCAAATAAGATGAGGACAATACTCACAGCTGTAAACTGAACCCAAGTCATCAATTGCTGCATCATTGATTCTACCTCATCTGCTGACAGTCTTGGGGCATCTTGTTCTCTGCTGATTCTGTGATACAATAAAATAAGTCAGCACAAGAGAGGGAAACATATGAAAAGCTAAAAATTTCACATGAATTAAGAGAGTACAATTTATATTACTTCTCAAAGTAACGGTCCAAGTTGTGCCATTGAGGATCCTTTGAGCGATTTCCAAAACGGATTACCTCATCAGAAAAAACTTTCAACTCCTCCCTGAAGGCAAACCCAATGATCACTTGCAGATGCCATTACATAATCATAATAAAATCAAAAGAATAATTCAGCTTATTTAGGAACTGAATTCGCCTAAATTCATTGAACTCAACCCCATACTAACCTCTTATCCGTTGCAACAATCCTTCTAAGTTCATCTGAATCTTTTGATACCAAATCTTGCACACCCTTTGAAGGAAGCACCTCTTCGTTTAAATGCCTAACACTTCTTTTGGACAGAGATTGAATAAGACTAGAGCCCTTGACAATAGTGTTTGCAACCTCAAATGCTAAGATAGCAATTTCATTTCCTTTTGTCGCAGTTCCAGAAATAAATCCACTTCCAGCATTTAAATTTGTCATGCTGCTCCCAAGAGTGTCCAAGACATCCACTGCCTTCCCAAATCCAACTCTTCCTATACGTGAACTCACCTCAGAGACCTGAAACAGAAAATATCTTTGTAGATACCATCAAATATTTCCTACCTTGGTCTCTTTACCATTCTCCTTTCTTTCAACAAGCCTGCCTACTTACTTAACTTAAAGACATAACAAAACACTAAACTAAATTTGAAACGGTATATATGATGTGAAAAACAAATAAAATAGCTAATTCAAATTGTAACCATTGCAATGAACAGGATGAAAAATGTGAAGTTCAGCCAATATAATGAAATCCTATGCAGTGATTCTGATGAAAGTGGATGGATGTTGGTTAGTACAGATCGTCGGGCTTGGAAGCATGCCAAAATTTTCTAGACAGCAATAAGTTAATAGGAAAGACACGGTTGGCGTTTTCAAACCTATTCTGCTATAGAGTGATCAACAGATTCTTCAAACAATCCAATGGACTCATTCTCAGAGTTCAATATTCATTATCATTAGGGCTTTAGTTTTCTTCTCCTTTTCTTAAACAGGCTCCTGTTGATGTTTTATTGTAAAATATCTGGAACTATTCATTAAGCAGTCCCTCGAAAAATTGGGGTGAATGTACATGAGCTGTTGGCCTTGTTTTGAGTTCCCACCAGCAAAACGCCTTGCCAACCAGTCAGCTTATTGCAAGAGATGTTATCATTAATGGGCTTCCCTTGACAGGATAAACTAACGATCGTGCTCATCATATAAAAAATTGCTTAGGACTTCCATTTTTTCAAAATAATGATCCTGCTTTCTGATTGAATTCTCGAAAACTAACTAGATTTTCATCGACATGCGATTTATAGGTGGAAGGTAAAAATTCTAAATATGTGCAGAGTTACGACAAATTAATCCGAACTCTCAACATAAATCACTGTGATCTGTAGACAGATCCACCACTCAGTAGCCCAGCTCGGGCGCATAAATAGTAAGAACGAATTAGTCAAAGGGTCGAGCATTTGAAGTGGACCATAATGAACCAACCTTTGCCACAGCAGCCTGTCTTGATTTAACTGACCTAGACTTGTGAGGAAAAGGATGGGTAAAGCGTGGGATTCCATCATAGAAATCATCTGGACTAGTGCCTGCATCTGTGCCTCGAATTTCACCATGTTCTTGCACATCCTTCTCCATTTTTTCACATATATGAGGTGCAGTAGTGAAATCACTCTGCACGCTGGACTGACCATTCTTACCAGATTTGTGATTCACAAAATTTTCATCGGTCTTAGCAAATACCTTGTCCTCGTTGGCGGACCTCGAACAAATCCCTCCCATAGTTTCAGATAACCAAACGAAAAACTCAATCGCTGTACCCCCTGACATGTACTCAAAGAATCAGCTCCGATAACACCCCGCCCATGTCTTGAATTAACAGAGAAAAGCCATTATTTTTCTCTCCAGCTTGTAGTCAATGCTATGGTGGTACAAGTAGAACAACCAGAAACAAACACGGATAAAAGAATATCGGAACTCGGAGGTGAAAGACACTGGGGGGAAATTCCAGATTCCAAAACGCAAGAGAGTAGAAAAAAAGGGTTTTGTTTTTTGGGAGGCTTATGGGATTAGGATGGGACAAAAGCTTGAAAATTGAGGAAGTTAAAGTCCACACTCAACCTCCCTTTGAGCGCCAAGAAGGTAATAATAATATAATAACAACGACAATTTCAATTGCTTTTTGCTAGAGTCTTACAAACATCTACTTAGCAAAAAGCTAAATTTGAACATGTCAAACTAATACTATTTCGGAGAGAGTGAATTGAGCGATGGTTATGTAAAGTCGAAAACTTTGCTTTGGTTAATAATGAGGGTTGGGGGAGGTAGGCTAAGAAGTTAAGAGAAGCTGAAGAAGCCGCCCGGGGCTCTCCTTTGCCCGATGCTCCAGACAAACAAGACTACCGCCTTTGACCGGCAACACGGAATTGGTCGTATTCAACTTTCTTCGTTGACCATCCCACTTGTCCTCTGTATTTTTATGCGTGTTCTTGCATTTTAATGATTTTTTCTAAATTTATTTTAATATTTAAATCACCAACTAGTGCATTTGAGGATGATACACAAGCTTTGTAAACACTCAAACAATTTCATTCTTATTTGAAATAAACAAGTTAAGAGTGTCTCTTTCGTTGCTCAAAACATGTCCTTATTTGGACCGTTTCATTTTGTAACCCTCAATTTATCTATTAGAGAGTTAAATAAAAAGCATTCTTTTTAATCGTTTTCCATCATGCATACCAAATTGTAAGTTGCAAAACACTGCTTTTCATCCGTTCAGACCCAAACTCTGATTATACTATTCTTAAGGTAATCCATTTGTAGCTGTTCTTACCCGGTTTCAGGATAATCCTTATCCTAAGCATACTTAGTGAGTAATTATTGCATTTCCATTATAAATGTATTATAAACCTCAAAAGGGGGAAGAAATAAACGGGAAGATGCTCGACGATGCCTTCAGTTTTTCGTAATGGGCACATGTGATGAAGACAGCGTATTAAAAAAAAGAAAAATCTCAAGTATGTTTTTTTTTCCGGTGAATCAAAAAAATCTCAAGTATCTTTCGCCCACAGATGCATCACTTGGCATTTAATTTGGAAGAACTTTGAAAATCCAGCCACCTAGGTTGGTAATACATCACAGGGTAGAGCACTGGTACTGCTATTTTTTGTGCATACAAATCTACGAGTCTTTATTTTGTTAATAATTTTTAAAATTTTTTTTTCCATACACATAAAATATTATATCATTATAACCATAAAATATATTTGCCATGAAATCGCTCTGGTCTGTGATTGGGGTTTTTTTTGGGAGTAATCTGTAAGTGCAGTCAACCAATGATGGCCCAAGTGTAAAAACGGCCACCATATATGAAAAGGTTGCTCAGTGGAAGAAATAGATTTAAAATTTAAAATTGAAGGTTTATTTAAATAATGGGAATGACTCGTGAAACTCGGGTAAGAGAGACAGAGAGGGAGAGGGAGAGGGAGAGGGAGAGCGAGAGCGATCCATGATATTAATATTTAAATGCTCTTCGCATCTTATTACTATGCTGAAACCGTAAATACTTAGCGCGCAGGTAGCTTGATAATCTCTTGGGGAAAAAAGGCAGCTTCACAATCTCATTAGGCATTTTTATCTTTGAGACGTTCTCAAAAGTCAAAACTCGCAATTATTGTAGCCAAAACAAAAAAATCTGGCCATGAGTTCTTTCTTTCTTTTGTTGTCCAATCTGAGCGTAAGTTCGCCGCCCGCCGGGACCATGCCCAACGGAGCAAATCCCAAGGAAATATGACAAATTTTAAATTTTGCCTCATCACCCGTCACTTACTCACTTGCCAATTGTTTATAGTTATAGCTACTGTTCTGAATCAATTGAAGTTGAAGGGGAGTGGAGCCAAAGAAATTGCCCGAAGATGTTAAATTACCTAATTGGCCTTGCTGACGCGAGGGGACAGCCCCATTGGTTTGTTCTTACATGCTAAAGAGCAAAAAAGGCGGAAGAATGGCAGGTGGGTCGAGGTCAGAGACGAACCCATCAAAACGAAACCCCATAACGGCGATGTTAGATAGATATTGTAGGTGTAAGTAAACCCCATAGCGTAGGGGGAGGAATTAGGAGCTGTATCAAGGAACCGAGAAGGATTTCTCATTCATTTTCAGTTTCACTAGTAATATTGGCTCAAATTACCTGCTTAACTTACTTATCAATAGTGTTCTGGGGAATCAAGGAGCTTCTGTTACTGTCATCTTCCCCGTTTTTTCTCGCCGAATGAAATTACAGAGCGACGCGCAACATAGATGTACTCGAGTAATTTGAAGGGGTTTATTTTGGCTGTCGTTTCCAGTGCTTTCATCGGCTCCAGCTTCATTATCAAGAAGAAGGGTCTCCGACGGGCCGGGGCGCACGGCCCTTCAGCCAGTGAGCGTTCTGCAATCTGAGAAGTTGCTTCTTCGCTTTGCGAGGGTTGTTACAATTTATTATTTTTTTAGTCGTTGTTTGACATTCAGTTCTTGTAGGTGTTGGAGGATATGGTTATCTGCGAGAACCTCTCTGGTGGATCGGCATGATTACCAGTGAGTAGTTCTCTATGTTGCATTCTCTGCAATGTTTGGTTTCCTCGCTCAAAATATTTGCTTTTAGCACATTCCAACCTTTTTTTTTTTTTTTGGCTTGGGGAATTGTTCACAGTGATTGTGGGAGAGATAGCTAATTTTGTGGCATACATTTACGCCCCTGCTGTGCTTGTGACGCCACTTGGTGCTTTAAGTATTATTATTAGGTAAAAGTTCATTTCTAGTAAGTGGTTGCTTCTTTGATCGTTTTCTCTCTATACATGTCCCTATGATAAACCATGTAATGTTGTGGAAATGAATAGTGCGGTCTTAGCACATTTCATGTTGAACGAGAAGCTGCAGAAAATGGGCATGCTGGGGTGCCTTCTATGCATAGTGGGATCCGTTGTAGTTGTTCTCCATGCACCCGAAGAGAAGTCCATTAGTTCGGTTCTTGAAATTTGGGATTTGGCCACTCAACCAGGTATGCTGATTGGGCCTGATTGGCATTCACTATGAAGTGCGTGCATGCTTTATGGAATTATATTGACAAGTACATTCTATTTTGGCATCCAGCATTCCTCTTGTATACGGCCTCAGCAATAGCTGTAGCACTGGTGTTGATTTTATACTGTGCTCCCCGCTATGGCCAAACTAATATTTTGGTTTACATTGGAACATGCTCTGTAATTGGATCATTGACAGTAAGTGACGCTATTAGATACCATGTCAATATTGAAAGACACGACATTTTTGTGAGATTGCGGTCATGTGTTGCTTACTGCCTTTTGTTTTTCATTTTTGATATGTTATTTCACAGGTTATGAGTATAAAAGCAATTGGCATTGCAATAGAACTTACATTAGAGGGCATAAACCAGGCTGTATACTACCAGACATGGATTTTTGCAATGGTCGCTATTACTTGCATCATTGTGCAATTAAATTATCTTAATATGGTCAGTATCTTGCGGTACACAGCACTCTTTTCCCCCCTTAAAAATACTCCTGGACATATCTTTTGCATTGTGACGTCCACTGTGAAAGATCAGCTTCCTTCTTTGAGATACTTCTCTATATTTTAGGTGCATATCCCCAGTGCCAAAAATTGCTTGGAGCGTGTTAGGTTGCTAATTTTCTGCCCTGGATATTTTGTGGTTAACACTTGTTCCTTTTATTATCAATGATGGTTCACAAGAACACGGGTCAAACTTGCAATTGATGACAGATGGCAACCTTGTGAATCCTGTACTATTGTTTAAGTTTTTGTCTAGACTTATGACGTCAATTTTTATAAAAAAAAATGTAGGAAAACCCTGAATCAAATATTTCTAAAGCAAAAACCCATTGCAAAGAATTATTAGTTTCCGAGGTGCAAAATCTGGGTATTCGATATGTAAATCTTTGCCTAGAAAACATCCATGTGATTGTTGTGATGAAGCCCGATAAAGATGGTAATCACAATGTCCTGAATTTTTAATTCATTGACGAGACTCGTTGCCACCCTTTTTTATTGTCATTTTAGTTGTATTTGATATTCAGTGTGTACGTCATCAGTGGTTAACAATTGCATGGTTGCAGGCATTGGATACTTTTAACACGTCAGTTGTGTCTCCTATCTATTATGCCCTGTTCACATCTTTCACAATATTAGCCAGTGCAATCATGTTTAAGGTTGGTATTTTGCAGAAATGCAATGAGAGAAAGTGTGTCAGGCAAGGAAACGTTTTATGGTTCGACCATCTGGTATAATCCTGTTTTCTGTACTATTATCATTTAGGACTATTCTGGTCAAAGTGCAAGCAGTATTGTATCAGAGCTGTGTGGTTTCATCACTATTTTATCTGGAACAGCAGTATTACATAGTACAAGGGAGCCAGATCCTCCAATAACAGGTAATGCCTCTTGCACTTCAGTTTGTAGGGTTTGAATGATTTAAGCTTTCATAAATATATGTATTAATTCTTTATTAAGAGTATATATGCACAGAGCACCCTACAATTGCTTGGTTTGACCTGTGAAATGCTGTGGGCGAGCCTTAGGCTAAAACTTAATTTAAATTTTAGATAATTTGAAAACATAAATTATATTTTCTGTTCAAAGAGCATTTGCATCATTTTGACGAATAAGTGGTCATACATTTCATAGAATGAAAGATGATTTTTTTCTCAAAAAATTTGAGTAAAAACGGCAAATATAATAAAGAATAAGAAGAAAATGCTGGCAAACTTTTAAGCTTAGCAAAAAAGAGGGAAGCAACATGTTCTAGGTGGGGCCATAACGTTCATAAGAATATATGCGAAATATATTCCGCCATTCACTGAGAATTAATTTCTAAAGTAGGGAATTCAAGTTGCTCAAACTTCGGTGTGCCACAAAACTTTGCTTAGTTAGAGAACTTCTCCGTAGTGTCATTAGCTGAATGATCAAAATTATATCAGCTCACAAGGTGACTGGTGGGAGACATTCTAAATAATTTATTGTGTCTTGTATGCTCGCATCACTTAAAATTAGTGAGCGGGATGAGTGGTTGGTTTCCAAGTCTTGTGCACTCATCTGATCATTTAGTCACTATTATGTTCAGCAATGCAAACACCTCAGACCCATTTCTTTCCAGGAAATGTAAATAGGAAATTTTTCCTACATCTGCTTTAAGCGCCTAGGTTTTGTTTAAAACACCTCATTTGTGTGAGAACTGGCGGCAAAAGGACAATTGCTTCGATGGCCTATGCATTTACATTGCTTCTTGGCTAATATGAAACTGTGGTTAGTTTTGTATTGGCCACTATTGCAACCAAGTCTCCATGTTTGTAGGTGAAAAAACCTGGTACACTTCGGAGTTCCGATATTTAGAGTCTAATTTCTTTGCCTTTGTCATCTGTTTTCTTTTTTAGTTTTTTTATTGCAAAAAAGGGAAAACAAGTTTCTGATTATTTAGGACATGCAGATTTATACACACCATTGTCTCCTAAAGTGTCATGGTATATCCATGACGGTGCTGAGTCTTGGAAGCCGGAGGAAGATGCACCACCGTTCAATTTAGCCAAAATCATGCGGCAAGATCATTTCAAGTGATAGAAGGGACTCAAACGAAATCAGATTGGTCCCCTGGTGTCCTGCCATTGAGTTATGCGGGCCATCCTGTTTCACTTGTTTATTTTAAGCAACTGAAGCGTGCCATTATTGATACAGAGTTCGGCTTTGCTCCAGTTCCACTATTTGGTTGGGCAGGAGTTGCAAGAGATTCATCAACATTGTGCAGCCACAGAGGAGAGATTTCCTCCTTTTTCTTAGATTTTTTTTTTTTTTTTTTGAAATTTCTGGTAGATATTCACAAGCCTGAGCTCTGTTCTTCATCTTAAGTTTGCATTCATTTACTCTTTCGAGTTGAGTTCTGCCCCCGGCTGTTTTTTGTCCCCTCTTGTGGCTTCCGTCTTCTTCGTCTTCTTCTTCTTCTTTTTTAAATTTTATTTTTTTACTTTCAGGGTTTACAGCTAATTTATTTGCACAATGAAGATGAGTACGGGTTTTTTTTTTGGCCCCTTAAACCTGCGTCCAGGCTCTGGTTTGGTCCAGCGAAATGCTGGGTGCTAACCCATAATAACGTTTATCCTTGTGATGTTAATTATTTGATTAGAGCTTCAATATTATTGGCCAGATGCTTGTCATTGGTCCCCGTATGTGTTACACTTCCATTCTTGAGCCTATTTTTCCGGCGTATTGTTGAATGCGTTTTTAATTTTGTTCTGTTGGCCCGAAGTTGTAATCCTCCACTAAAAGCCCTGTTTTAAGTGTTTATATGATTTTATCTGTATGGATATAACCATGTTTTACATCTATTATGAGTTTATCATTTAAGCATATTATGCGAGAGAGGGAGGGCTGAACACAACTCAACACTGGGAAAAACATGAAGGTTCCCATAACAGTAGGTCAGTTAACGCAGGGAATGGCGGGATTCAAAAGAAAAGTAAAGATCGTTCGAAAAAGAAATTAGAATTAGAAAATCTACATCCAGCTTCTGCAGAGCACAGAACAGAGTATACCAGGAATTATCGTTTCTATATTTTTCATGTGGTGACTAATAAATAGGCAAGGCCTTTTAGATATTCAACGATCTCTGATCCACCAAGCTTCGAACTCCCAAATACTCTATCAACGAAAGTAATTGGAACCTGTACACAATCAAAGCTAGCGTCTCAACTCCAAATTAAACAATGAACAATAGGATAATTTCGGTACTGAGAATTGTAGAGAAAATTACAAAAGTACATCTAGATCTTTTGCACAAATTTTGGAGTATCTCTTACTAATTATATAATCAGATTCGACCACTTCTCCCTAACAGTTAGTCATGTTCGTATTCAAGCACAAGCAAATAATAACCCCGACCTTGGCGAGATTAAAGGGCTGTAACTTCATCTTTGCTTGGACTGAAAATACGGAACTACAATAGATAATACATGTCTGCTGCTTGGATCACCATAAAACATCACTAAATTTACTTTGAGACTCTTTTATGTACCAAAGCCACTAGATTAGGGTGTGTATGCATTACTTACGAAACATTCTTGTGATTCACCAGCAAGCACCTTTAGCAGTATAAAATTATGATTCTTGGCCAATGTGCACCGCAGAATATAGTTACAAGGTACACTTATGTTGACAAAAGTAAGTCAAATTGCAAGCCACAAATAAAAAAAGATTGCACTAGTTACTAAGGGCACATACAGATGACATTCTCCAATACTTAATAACAAATTAACAATACCATCACTTAATTTGACAGCCGCTTATGCAGCTTAGCGATCAGAAGGGTCAAAAAACAACCAAAGAAGCCCTTACTTTGTTTTGGTGTATTCATAAGAAGGATGAATTATACCTCTTTAATCTTGTAACCCTTTCTAGAAGCACGGACAATCATCTCCATTTGAAAAACATATCCCTTACTAACACAGCAACTAATAATATCTTCAAGCACTGATTTCCTGTAAAGTCTATAAAGAGAAGAGATAAATCATTCTCAAACAAGTGGAGCAATTAACACTCATCAGTCAACTACTTAATAGCACTTATCAAGTTTCATACCTAAAAGATCCTGTTAGATCAGAAACACCAGGCCATAAAAAGGTTTGTGCAAGAACATTTGCCCCTCTGCTTGTTAATTTGCGCATAAGATTCCATCCATGCACACCACCACCCTTGACATAACGAGTTCCGGTGACTATATCAGCACCAGTTTCTAACTGCTTTCTGCGAAATGTAAATGGAGAATTAAATGGCATAGGCAGATAAGAAATAAGCAAGAAATTATTAGAAGGTTTTCTTACCTGATGAAGCTTGGCAGATATTTTGGCTGCAGAAGAATTAAACAAATAAGTAAAAGAAAAGATGTAACAAAAACAAAATTCATTTAAGAAATTTCAAAAATGGACATTCTAATTCAACTCAGAGTAGGAGACAACAAATGAATAGAGTAATTCTCTCTGACTACAAATTATAAATTTGTCAGATTACCAATTGCATTCATAGACACAGGCATGTTAAAATGACAGGTGAATTAATAAAACATTAAAGCGACATTTCAATCCCAAATAGTGATTTGTTCAGACTTAATTCTGCCGACTTCTTTTTTCAACTTTTTTCTTCTACCACAGTCCTTCTTATTTTCCTTAGTTCAATCATTAGGAACGGCAAACAACGATACAAATCTCAAAGGCACTTACATGGTGTGATAGATCAGCATCCATGATGACAACAAAATTTCCAGACGCATGTTTCAAACCATGAATATAAGCCGTTCCTGGAATGGAATTGAATCAAAATAACAGCTTTTCATATTTTATAATAACTTAAGAGGACAAGGGTGAGGTAAATACCTAAACCCAGCTTACTAGGCCTGGCTCTTAATAGCTGGAATCACAGAGAGAAAACGCTTAATATAAGATTAGCATTTAGCAGGGACTGAGATAAATATCGATGAAGAAAAGTTTATATATAAAACTCCAACTTCAAGTTGTATATTTCTTACAATCCGATCCTCTCCATAAACTTTCTGCAACTGTTTTACGATATCCTGAGTGCCATCGGGGCTTCCATCGTCCACAACTATAATTTCAAAATCGACGTCCCTAATTGAGGATTGAGCACCCAAAAAGAAACATTCCAAACATGCAAGATCGTTAATCACCATCGAGGAACAGTATAATCAGAATAGATAATGCTCGCTATCTTGAATCATAAAGGAATACACTCCGATTGCCCCAAAACGTCAAAAACCAATCTTAGATTTCCAGAGGTCATGAGTGATGTGCAAATAGAACCAAAACTAAATCAAGAGATGGGAAATTTACCGGAGGTGCTTGAAAATAAGGTAGACGATGAGAGCAATGTTCAGCCGCTCATTGTAAGTAGGAATGATTACACTGTACTTGTTCTTTGGGGTATTAAGCGGCGCTTCCATTCTAATTGTAATCAGCAATTTGGTTCCTCGCTCGTTGTTTCCAGGATCGAATTCTCTGCTTCGTTGTTTCAATTGCCGCAGCCTTTGGCGTAGACGTGTACTTCTAGGGAAAGAGATTTGTTGCAGTGCTTCAAAGGTGCGTTTGTACCTATCGCCAGATTCATCTAATGGCTGGCAGAAAAGAGGATGCAAATAATTTGTTCAAAACGGTGTGTAGCGAATCAGCTTCTAACCCCACCTGGCAAGCCCAAAAAAAGAGGTTTTTGGCGCCATTTCTCCCTGAAACTATTCATCAACAAAATTTAGCGAATCTTGACACACTTGCATCTTAGTTCTCCCAATGATCTATTTGTAAATGGCAATCCCATCGAAAGGCTTGGAAGCAAAAAGAAAAGCACTCTATCTTTCAAGACAAATGATGCTCAACAGAGAAAATTAGCAAACCCATCAGACATATTCGAATGAACCAGAACGGAGGACGCAATAGCGGAAGGTATTCCATACGAGTGAAGAGGAGAGCACTCTCACGCCAGAGTAGAACGCTTCACTCTTCAGCTTCGAACTCAGCAATCAGATCAGGGGAAGGAGACGCCGAGATGCACGACACTGAGGGAAGAAGGAGGTGCCGAAGCGAGAATGACGGACAAAGAGAACAGAGGTGGGCGGTGAGGAAGTGGCTCGTGAAGTTAGCTGGAGGCCTGGGGCTGAGGCATCGAGCATGAAGTATATTCTGCTTGCGCGAGGAAAAAATATTCTAACGAGTAAAAGCACTCTGTATCTGCAGTTTTTTTGTTCGAGTTCGTCATGGGAGAATAAATTGGAACTGTTCATCTCCCTCTTTAGTATACTTTTTGTTTGGATAATCATTAGTGGTTGCAATGAGCAATGATTTATGATTAGCACATTCACTAGCCTGATCATCGAGTCATCTCTTTTCTGTTTTCTAATTATATGATCATATTGGAACTTAATTAACGAGAACACTGCGAATACCATTCAATCAATATAACCGAACTGCCTCTTTTATGCTTTCCCCGGTCTTGCCGCCTTGGGGAGATATGGATCTTATTCCAGTGTGACTTATTTGATCAATGATGCTTCTGGTTCTAATTATAAAATCTTATTTGTACTAATATATTACCACGAGTCCTACTTATAAGATCTTATTTGTAGTCTACAAATAAGATCTTATAAGTAGGACTCGTGGTAATATATTAATGCGTGCTAACTTTTCTTGTTAGGTGATCTGGCTCAAGGGTGGCAAGCCATAGTAATACTATCAGAGAGTTCATATTGTAATATCTATTTCATATGTTTGTTAATTTTTTTTAGATTAACTAATATCTTTAATTTACTGCATGCATTAATAACCAGAAGAATATTATTTTTTCCAATGCTCTGGCTGTGTTATGCCGCGGCTAGCCTGCTCGGCGGCATACTTACCGGGTTGTTCGCAGAGCCCCGTCTAAGTGCACTCTTCTCGGCCGTCAGTTAATGGTAAAACGTATCGCCGGAGGCCTGTTCATCATGGGATGGAATCTCGTGGTCACTTCCATTATATGTGCGGTGACGACGCAATTCATGGTGAAGCTCAGGAGGCTTTTGCCTTGTGGGGCGATGGAGAGACCCGACTGCTTTAGTTGGATGCATTCTTTAATCTTTATTGTTTATTGGTGGGTCGTACTATAGGATGTTAATTTTGTTGTTCTTAACCTTTTGTCTCTTGCTCCCCATTTCTTCCAAGCCTTCTCAGACACGAGTTACTCGGCTTCCTTTTACTTGGGAAAAAATAAATTGTATGCTTCTCTCATAGGAAGTTGGCCGGCTAACTTGTAATACCCCTCTCCATAATACTTCTAATTCTAATTATAAAACCTAGTTGACTAATTTGAAGAGATTAAGAAAAGATATTAAGTTAGTTATTTGCTATAAATAGATATTGTCTTTCCTAAAATACTTGCTAATCAAGTATATTGATTAAAACTACCATTGTTAAAAGACAACCTTAAAAAAAAAATACATAAATATTAAAGACAAAGTGAATTGGAATCTTATATTTATAAAAATAAAATCAAATGAGATCCTATATTAAAACTGGAGGTAATATAAAATATTGGTTAAATTTTTTCATAAATTAAAAAATAATAGTTAAGTTATTAAATGTGTCGTAAAATAATAAATTTTTTCTATTTTACCTTTAAATAATATGATTGGAAAGTAATAAAATATTTTCTAAATGCATTTTTATTATCTCTCCCCTATATTTAAAACTTTCTCTTGTAATTTAAAAATTTAAAAAAATCTTATTAATTGCCAGACAACTTTTTATGCTTTGGACCATAATTTCCTTCCTAAGACTTCCTATATCATGAACCAAGGAAAGCAAATAAATACTTCATATCAACTTTGTAAAAATTAATAAAATTAGTTAAACTTAATTTTTTTCTCACAAAATATCAAAATTATTCTCAATAAAAATTATTAGTTACAAGAATTTGATTAATTAGTTAGAAAATTTTATGTTTATTTAGGAATATTAGGTTAAAAAATTAATGATTCAGACCAAACAATATATTATGAGACGCATTTGAGTCCTTATAATAATAAGAACTAAAAAGCGTGTATGTATATATCCTAACACTCTTAAGTCGAAAAAGATTCAAGTATATTTGGAACGCTCAAACCAATGGAATACAAATCAAATTATAGCATCTATATGTGTGTGTGTGGGGACTAAATATATACACTAACATGTTGGCAGTCCCAGCAGGAACCAAAGTTAAAAGCGAAGAGAGCATGGTAAATCCCCTCAAAATCAAATGCAGCGCCTCCTATTGTGGCAGCGCCTCCAGACACGATGCATCTTCCCACGGTAGAAACGACCCTTCTTGAGATAAATTCTGTCACCATATATGCATATTATGAATCAAAAAGTGATATACCAGCACAGGACATTTAATTAAAACGAATGTATGGGATGCTGAAAATCTAAACATACTGTCATCCAAAGAAATATCCACGCAGGAGATTCAGAACTCGGGATGATCATCACGAACTGAATCTATTCTCTTTGCAAGATCTGCAGATTCAGCTCGAAACTGAACGAGTAAGTGATCTTGAACAAGGGATGCCAAGAGACAACAACAAAACTAAAATTAAGGAATCTAGACTAGAGCCAGTCCAATCTCATAGTTCAACCAATGTAGTCATATCAGTAGATTTTATTATGTACAGCTAGACCATAGTAGTGTCATACATGCAAAGCTATATTGCAAGTGGAAGAATGTACTAAAGCAGTGCGATGAATCATACTTACCCGCATGGTAATCAAGAATAGACTTTGGAGGACGAGTGTCGTCGTCATAGCTTTTTGTGCACGAACGCAAAACTCTTTGGCTTTTCACTGGTTTCTTTTCACTAAGTTGTTTAAGAAGCATCCGGTACTCGTCCTCGGAGTAAGGCCTCCTGAGATCACCCATGAGCTTATCTCTAAATGCTGTGTGTTTCCGTGCACGGGCTTTTTGTTTCTCCCACCACCGATCCACATTCACCTAGGAAGCAGCAAATAAAGGAATTTATTCAAATCCCACAAACAGTATACATAACGCAAAACAAAGAACAAAAAATTGAAATGAAACAAAAATGATGGATTCATTAAATTTGCGATACGTACAACAGGTTCTGGTTGCTTTATGAGGGGCCTTTTTAAGTCAGGCAGATGGTCGTCTTCATCTTCTTCTTCTTTCACTTCCAAATCCACGTTCGATCGAACATCGGTGCTAAGGGCGAGAGGTTGTTTTGGTTTCCTACCCCTGCGCGTCGTCGCCTTTGGATCCACAATCGTTTGAAGAGGTTGCTTTTGTTTCCTACCTGGTGATTTACGAAGCTGCTCTGCCTCAGAGTTCAAATTAGTATCGATAGAAATAAGACGGGTCCGATCATCAAGGTTCGACTCAGAGCGTGTTGTAGTTGGTAATGTAGAATCCTCTGGTTCCTCCGCTTCGTATTTAATATAGACACCGTCTTCCGGGATGACAAGCGCATAAGATTTTCCGTCCAGCCTGAGATGATCCAAGAAAAACTTATACGGCACATGATCATCATTATCATCAGACACATCGGGTGATACAGCTCTATTTACTTCCAGGAGATGGAGCAACTGGGATTTGACACTGTCGTAGAGGTCATCTAAATAATGCACGACATCTGGGTCGGCCAGTGGATTCTGAACATGCAAAGCTTCGGATAGAGAAGTAAAGAAGCTGAGTTTGTCGTTTCTTGATTGGAGGTTCCTGCTCTTGGTGCGCAGGTGAATAGAAATATCATGGTGACAATCCCAAGACTCGTACTTGATCCTGTCGTCCAATCCCGGTACCTGTTTGTCTGGATTGGCCGCCATTCCCCGCGCTGCTTTATCAAATTATGACCCCACGCACTCTCTGTGCCCTAATTTTGTTTTAGTTTCATAATTAATTATTATTTACACAATCAAACATTAAAACTTAAAAGAAAGAAACCCCAACCTTCGCAGCTCCGGCGTTCCCGGGGTACGGTGCTCTCGTGTTGGGAAGGGACTCACTCAACTCAAGCCAAGGAGGACGGGGATGGCGAAGACGAGGACCACTTTCTGTTTAAGTGCAGTAAAGAGAGTTTATCCTTAATTTGATGAAAAGACAAAAAACACTCGTTAAGCGGTCAGAGTAAATAAGGACTAAAAAGGTTTCTGGATAACTTCAAAATTATTTTTTAAAAATATTTTTTTTAATCAAAATAAATTCTTCTACATATCTACTCCATATATCATAAAAATACTTTTAAAATCATGACTTTATTTCTATCTAAACACTTCCAAATAATACTCCTCTGATCCTATTTATAAATCACTTTCAACATATTATACACACAGATTAAAAAAAATCTCAACTTTTATTAACTTTCATTTAAAATTCAACTCTCTAATTTTATTTCCATTTAATATATATTATATGTCATGTATGAGTCAAACAAAATAAAATTATACATTTATACAAAAAATTTCTTTTAATACTTTATAAATAAGATAAAAAATATCTTCTCTCTAATTTTTAAATAGGACTAAAAGAGTAAGAATATTTTAATAAAAAGGCATTGAATTTCTTAAAGTCATTATGCTTCTTAGTCCTTAATCTATATGCCCCATTCACGGATCCGGATGCCGTTCTGGTCCCAAACGGGATGTCTCGCCAATGTTCTTAGAAAAAAGTTCAAAACCAAATTGAGACATCCCGCCTATCCTTGATATAAGTCAACTTTCTGAAACTAATATAAAAATTAGTTTAATTTTTAAATTGATTTTAAAAACTTTTATTTAATTTATTTTTTATATTTATCTATTTTTTAAAATTATTTTTTTATAATAGTTATACATGTTAAAAATTTAATTTTATTAAATAATAGTTTTAATTGATACACATAATTAGTAAAAATATTTTTAAAAAATAATATTTATTTATTATTAATAACTAATTTAATTAATATTTTTAATCAGTTCAAAGTGCAAGTAAAACGTGGAGCAAGTACTCTGCTAATTTTCTAGCTGAAGTGACTACTGCAGTACAGCTGAGGAAAATATTGATTAGAACTCACTTGGCTTGGCCATGTAAAACCTGGGTGCATTTAGGAATTAAAAAAATCAAAAATTTACCTGCATTTTCCGCTGCAATTTGACATCTCCATCAGCCATTATAGCATCCAATTCACTATTTAAGCAATTGATTGATAACCTGCTCAATCAGACTAATCACGTTCGATTCTGCAACTTACTTGCCTTTACTGATCATCACTCCAAGAACAGCCACCTGCCAATTATTCCAATCAATGCACTAGTCAACACACAAAAACACACTGAAACAAACAGGATTTCTAAGGATCGAAAATCAAATACCTGGGAGTGCAAGATTTAGAGTCCTTCAAAAAAGAGAGAGAGCAAATTGGGCGCTGGGACGGCGGGAAGGGCGGCAAGAAACTGATGAGGAAGACCGAAAAGTGAGGAACCGAGGATAAAGGGAAGCCAACTGCCAAAATCGTCCCCGTTGAGACGCCGCGTTTGATCGAGAAGGAAGATGAAAGAGTTTGTTTAGGGTTGTTGCAGAAGGAGAAAAGAAACCCTTTTGAGCGTCGACTGAATGATGAACCAAGGAAAGAAACGCGTGAATAAAAAAAAAAAGAAAGAAGGAAAGATGAACGAGCAGGTCGGCTTTATCTGAACGAAGATTTTTCGAGTGGGAGAAGGGAGCGAGAGCGTAGGAGCATCTGAAGAGTGAAGAATTAGTAATTTACACTTTAAACTTCAACAATTTGCTCTGATCTTCGTTTTAGTTCTTATAATTTTAGACGATGCTACCTCGCATCCTAGTTATAAAACTTAGTTAACTAATTTAAAAGAGTAAAAAAATAAGTTAAAGTAATTATTTGTAAAAATAGATATTATTTTTTTAAAAATATTTTTATTAATTAAGTGTGTTAGTTAGAATTACTATTGTTAGTATATATAAATATGAGAAAAAATATATTAGAATCTTATACTACCTCCGGTCCTAATTATAAGACCCAGTTGACTAATTTGAGGAGATTAAGGAAGTAAGTTAAGTTAGTTATTTGTAACAAATAAGTGTTACCATTCCTAAAATATCCTTACTAATTAAGTGTGTTGGTTAGAACTATAATTATTAGAAGGACTATCTTGGGAAAAAATGTATAAATATGATAGACAAAATGGATTGAGATCTTATAATTAGGACCAAACTAAAAGTCAAACGGGGTCTTATATTAAGGACCGGAGGTAGTATTTAAGATCAAATAAAAGCCAAACAAAATCTTATATTAAAAACCAGAAGTAGTACTACTTTATGCATATAAAACCTTATTTGACTTTTATTTTAATCCTAAATATAAAACTTCAATCTATTTTATCTCTCATATTTATTTATTTATTTTAAGATAATTCTTCTAATAATAGTACTTCTAACTAATAAACTTGATTAGTAAGGATATTTTATGAAAGACCACATATATTTATTGCAAATAACTAATTTAATTTATTTTCTTAATCTACTCAAATTAATCAACTAGCACTTATATTTAAGACATAAACTAGTCTGTTTTCATCTCTAAAGTTTTTTGTCTAATGAAATCTTAATACTACCTCCGGTCCTTAATATAAGACCCCGTTTGACTTTTTGTTTGGTCCTAATTATAAGACCCCAATCCATTTTGTCTCTCATATTTATATTTTTTTTTTCCAAGATAGTCCTTCTAATAATGATAGTTCTAGCCAATACACTTAATTAGCAAGGATATTTTAGGAATGACAATACTTATTTATTACAAATAACTAACTTAACTTACTTCCTTAATCTTCTCAAATAAGTCAACTGGGTCTTATAATTAGGACCGGAGGCAGTACTAATAGAACGGAACGTTCCGGGATAATCCTCCGTCCCCTCCTAGTTCCATTCTTGACCCCACTCGGACCAATCTTGATGGGGTCAGAACGGGCTGCCTAGACCGAATTGCATACCCCTAATTTCATTCCATTAATATTAAAAGTTTAAAACTATTTCAGTAATTTTATTTTTTATTTTGATTCAAGATATAAATTGTTTTAAAAAATATCAGAAAAATAATACCTATATAATTAAAGTTTAATATTCTTTTAAATTTAAATATAAAACTCATTTTATAATATAATTTATAATAAAAATAGATTTTATATTTAAAATTAGAAGAATATTTGAAATATATAATTTTGATGGTGGCAGTCAAATTAGTAATGCCTTTTAAAAGCGTGCGCCTTTAGGAAAATTCGTAGGGGCGTTGTCGCGAAACGGGTAAAGGAGCTATAATCCAAAGTGGATCATAGTGGAAGCTTCTTTCCACAGCTCAGCACTTTTGGGCATTTTCATCAAATTGAGGAACAGATAAAAGGTAGGCATGAATACTATTATTATATTGTTTATGATTAAAAATCAAAGCCTCTCAGCTCAGTGGGATTCTTCTGCCCTTTCCACCGCTGCCACTACCACCAAGCATCCCTCCTATCCTGCTCTTTAGCATTGGGCAACCCAGAAATTGGCCGTTCCCTTTTCTAGAATTTTTAATCCTTAATTGTGTTGCCCATTGACCACTAGGTCCCAGTCACTCACTTTAGTTGGTTTTGACTGTTTTTCTTCCTGACAACAATAAATGTCTCCTCCTTCGTCTCCCACTCTCCCATCAGTGTTCATGCTGCAGTAACCAGTGAGTCCCCCATGTCTCCAGCTTGTAAGTTTCTTGCTTCCCCTCTTTGTGTGCCTCTTATCTTCTCACAAAGGTTGCCTTTTTTGCCTTCTGGGAAATAGTAGATATTTCAATTCAATCCATTGTTTGATGGGGATAACTCATTCTTGTTAATGTGTCGGTTATCAACTTTCCATGATAAAAATCATTCCCTGAGGTTCTTTTATTTTCCCAGCTGAATATTCCTTGGAGATCAAAGAGGCTTATATTCCTCTAAAACGGATGACCAGGTGGCTGTTATTCTTGGCCATCTCAGGACTCAGCTGTGCAACTACTGGTCCTGATGTGGAAGGTGTTGTGCACATTTTCTTATCTTTTGTAACTTTATGGGATCACTGGGACCTATTATTTGATGCGAATGTCTGTTCGGGTCATTGACTTTACTATACAGGTGAAGCTTTGTTAGATTTTTTGAAGGTCCTCAATGATTCTAACCATCGGATGACAGATTGGAATAGTTTTCTTGTGAGCCCATGCTTTAGTTGGTCTCATGTCACATGCAGAGATGGACATGTCATATCTCTGTAAGATTAACCATGTCAGAAAGACAAATCTTTACCCCCCCTTTCTTCTTTTCCTAACATACTACTTTTTCTTTTATGTATGTAACCTTTGTAGGAGTTTTGTTAAATGTTTTTGTGATTCAATCATGCCAATGGATCATCATGCAGGAGCTTGGGTTCAAAAGGATTTTCAGGGACACTGTCTCCTTCAATTACCAAATTGAAATACTTGATTACCTTGTAAGTTGGTATTTGTAAGATTCAGCAATACTGCCTCAGTGCTACTGCGCTGGTCCAGCTAATCAGAGAAACCTTGTTTGTCATGGGTAATTTGTTGGGCTAGTGTCTGATTTACCAAGAAAAATCATAAGAACTTCATATAGAAGATTTTCTAATAATTAAATCATGACCTATGGGTTGAGAGGAACTTCCTTTTCAACTTCTTGTGATTTTCATCATCTGTTATAAGCTTAAAAATTGAATTCTAAATACTCATTTCTTGCATACCATTTTTACAAATACGATTTGTATGTTAAGAAATACTACTTTCAGTCCTTAATATAAGATCTAATTGACTAATTTGTGAAAATAAAAAAGTTACTAAATTACTTTAAAGTATTTATATTTATCGTTTTTTCTCCCAACTAATTTGCCTCACTTATAAATTGAAATATAATCTAATAATATACAATAGATTTCTTCCATGATATTATCTCTTATTAGCCAAATTAATTATTACAGGGAATTGCAGAACAATAGTCTTTCAGGTTTCTTGCCTGATTATATTGCCAAGTTGACACGCCTGCAATATCTAAATCTTGCTGACAATAATTTTAATGGTTCCATACCATCCACGTGGGGTCAACTTTCCTCTCTAAGGACTCTGTAAGGCTGTACTTTCCATTTTTCAGATACTCTTGTCCTCCTTCTAAGAATTATGGATCATATGAAAGCCTTTTGAGAGATTGAACAATGTATGATTGTAAGTGATGATGGTTATTCAGGGTATTGAAAGGGAATGACTTGTTTGGATTCATACCGGATTCTGTTGAAAATCTCAGTAGGTTATCAGAATTGTAAGAATTTCCATTCTGATGACTTTTTTTTTTTTTTTGTCTTTAGTTTTTGGGATTTCTCCTACCTTGAGTTTGCTTACATCTGTATGCTATGATTTATTATTGACAGGGATCTTTCTTCTAATAATTTAACTGGAACCATCCCAAAGCACCTCTTTTCAATTCCAATCTTCAAGTAAATTTTATTAAAACTTGAATCTCTCTAGTTTTTTGGGATTACTTAAGATAACTGTATTCTGAAAAAATACATACAATTTGCTTTTTGCTACTTTATCACTTTTCAGCTTTTCAAATACGAACCTTCAATGTGGCTCTAGCTTGGAGCAACCTTGTGCTTCTAATTCAGCTATTCCAGGTTTTTATTTTCATTTTTTCCTTTGTCTTGTGTAGTTTTTGATATTCAAAAAGTTCTAAACCTAAAGTTTACATTTTCCTGTAGCTTCAACCAACAAATCAAAAGTTGCAGTGGCTTTAAGTTTGGCAAGTTGTGGCGCCTTCGGAATTCTATGTTTAGGGGTCATCTTTACATATGTATACCGATTCGCGCAAAGACACAAAAGTGATGTTTTTGTTGATGTTTCAGGTATTTTCTTATAATGCTGGGGTCCTTCTAGTCATTTATCTTCACCGTCCTAATTGGAATATGATTGATATTTTTAACGTGTTCAGAGTCATACTTATTGCATACTTCTGGAAAAACTCTTTGAAAAGTAATATTTGATCAGGTGAAGATGAGAGCAAGATTCATTTGGGCAATTGAGAGATTTTCTTTGCGTGAACTTCAGCTAGCCACAAAAATTTCAGTGAAAGCAACGTGATTGGCCAAGGAGGCTTTGGAAGAGTATACAAAGGAGTACTCTTGGACAACACAAGGATTGCAGTGAAACGCCTGGCCGATTATCATAATCCTGGTGGAGAGGCCGCATTCCAAAGAGAAGTTCAACTTATAAGCGTTGCAGTTCACAGAAATCTCCTACGTTTGATTGGGTTCTGTACAACCTCAACCGAAAGAATCCTTGTATATCCTTTCATGCAAAATCTAAGCGTTGCATATCGCTTGAGAGGTAATAGAACCACACTTTTCTTCAATTCTGGAGTTGACTGACTATATTTGAGTTAAATTCTTGACACTATTTTGTGGATGATGCAATTAGATTTGAAACCGGGAGAGAGAGGTCTGGACTGGCCAACAAGGAAACGTATAGCATTTGGTACAGCACATGGATTGGAGTATTTGCACGAGCAATGTAATCCTAAGATCATACATCGTGATTTAAAGGCAGCAAACATCCTGTTAAATGATGAATTGAAGCAGTTCTTGGAGATTTTGGCCTAGCTAAGCTGGTTGACACAAGACTGACCAGCGTTACCACGCAAGTGAGGGGCACAATGGGACATATAGCCCCAGAATACTTGTCCACAGGAAAATCATCAGAAAAAACTGATGTCTTTGGATATGGCATAACACTTCTTGAAATTGTGACAGGTCAACGAGCAATCGATTTCTCCGGCTGGAAGAAGAGGAGGAGTTCTTCTGCTAGATCATGTAAGATTCTAGTCCACTGTTGTATCTTGACATGTAAAAACTGTTACTGTTGATGACTCGTTTTCTATGTTCAACTCTGCAGATTAAGAAGCTGCTGAGGGAGAAGAGGATAAAGGACATAGTGGACAAGAATTTGGAGAGCTATGATGTGAAGGAAGTGGAGAGGATTATTCAGGTTGCCTTGCTTTGCACGCAAGGCTCGCCTGAGGATCGACCAAGCATGTCAGAGGTAGTGAATTTGCTGAATGGGGAAGGTTTGGCAGAGAGATGGGCAGAGTGGGAGCTAATGGAAGAGATGAACAATAGAGAAATGTCACTCTTGGCTCACCAATTTGCTTGGGCTGATGAATCTACGCACCATCAAGAGGCTATTCAGCTTTCCTGGGCAAGATAAAAGACACATACATGGTTTTGCAGGACTCTGTTTTGAGAAATGCAAATGCTTCTTCTAAGTCAAGCACATGTACCTTAAATACAGTGTGGTGGATAGTGTTCGATATCCAATGAACCAAAAACCGAAAAAGGAAACTCTTTTCTGTATCAAGCTTTTGTTTTTGGCACAGGTGAGTCGTTGTAGAGGTAGAGTATTAGAGGCAAGGCCTACGCCCTAGTGCGACACACGTATCTCTGTACCTGCCTCGTGTAAACTTGCATCTGTTGCATGTAAGATATTGCCAATCTTCCCCTGAACTCCTGAAGTGAGAATAGATAAGGTCTTTTTATATTAATTTGGTTGCTATGTATCTTAATTAAAATAATCCCTGAAACCATTTTTGAACGACATTCTAAAACATTAATATGGAATATAATATACCTCAAAATGCTATAACTTTCGTCTTCATATTTTAAATCGTCAATGTAAAATATAAAAAAAATATATTAATTGCATAGTCAACAACTTTACTTTATTTCAATTTAAATGCATAAAGACCGCTCTAAATTTTTCGTAAATCCATTAACTTGACTATGTTTTTTTGAAATATTTTATCTTCTAGCAATTGAAGCCGTCTTTTTTATATTTTTGACATGCTTTTGAGTTTTAGGTGTTCACAATTTCGAAATAAATCCAAGTTACAAGTATATTATCAATTTATTCCGATTATAAATATAAAATATAAAAAATAACAAATCTCATTATTTATTTGTCATAAATGCTATAACTCATTTATAAGATATTACCATATGTCTAATTCTATGGAAATAGTAACCTAAATGCTTTCAGGATAACTGAGAATCTGACTGTCTGAGACTAGAACAGTCAACTATTTGGTTAAGTGCACAAAATGTGATCAATACTTAAAATAGACTACATTATTTCAAATAATATACTTTAGTCTAATTTTTTACATTTTTTATATTAATTTCGTAATTTGTATGAACATTAATGTTATTTTTATGTTTTTAATGTTTTTAAAAAATATTTTTAAATTTTTAGCTTAAATTATTCTACCTTTTGATTTGTTTAATTTTCTTTGGTCAAATGTTTAGATTTAACTAATTTACAGTGTTGGCACTTGGAAGTTGGAACTATCCTTTTTTGACGTCGGTTGGCACTTGGAGCTTGGAAGTTGGAAGTCAAAAAAAATTTTCTCGTTGAGACTGTGTGGACTTGGAGCCATTGCGCGCAAAAGGTAGTGGTGGTACTCCAGTGATTTCTAGGGTTTTTAGTTCTGTGTAGCTTGTAATCGTTGTTGTCGAAATCGATGCCTCGAAGCCTGTCGCGCTCTCCGTCGTACAGGAGGAGATATTCTCCGTCCCCTGTGGGTCACCGTCACAGCCGTAGAAGCCGCAGAGATCGGAGCCGCTCGCCCTATTCCAATTCTACCCGGACCAGGTTTTCTTTTTATATCTTGCTGCTCCTAGTCCAAGTTTTCTGTAAAGCCTCGACCTTTGTTTAGCTACAATGATTGGATTCCTTGTTCCCCTTCAACTCAGATGATGTTTTATCTCTTAACATCATATAAGAAACTGACTGTCATTATTCCACAGAGACGGGTTCGGGTTCGAAGTGCCCGTCCCTGTGTTGGCTTTCGTATTAATTTTGAAAATTCTTAGTTTTGGTAATTTTCAAGTGGAGTCTGGATCTGCTGTTTGATTGCAGGCGAAGAAGTCGCTCTCCGAGTCATAAGCGTCGGAGAACACGGTCTCCAGCTCATAGACATCGTAGGAGACATAGAAGTAGGAGCTCTTCACTGGCTCCACTACCTAAATCTCGCAGTTCTAGCCCTGTTTCAAATGAGCATAAAGCTGCCTCTGACAAACTGAAAAAGAGGAAGAAGAAAAGAAAAGGTAAACTTCCTGATTCATGCGCCATTTTTTGTGATCTCCCTTCACAAAACACTTGGATACTTATCATGCCTATGAGATTGTAATTTTTCTCAGCATAACTTTGGTTAATGAAAGGCATATATGTTCATCATAGGCGAGAATCTTCCATAGAGGCCGTACTTGAGCCTGGTGCATCGAATTTGTAAAGCGTTAACTGAGTTTAATTATTAATGTCATGTTTATGGTTGATCAACTAAAAAGGCTATGCCAGCAGGTTAACTTGATTAAAAAGTCCAGTTTGGTGTAAGGAGTTATGTTTATCACCGAGGCAAAATTTTGCCGCTGGTGGTGAGAATACACTAAATGAGTAAATTATTGGCATTATAGTTTGAAGATAATAGGTTTACAGCAACTTATGTCTAAATCAATTCCCATTTTTGCTTGTGCCAGATGCGTGATTCACTTTGAAAATGCAACTGCTTAAATTCTTCTCTACTGGCTTTTCTGAAGGAAGCTACTGCGTAGTACAATGTTTGTTATATATGATGAACAATTGGTGCGAAGTTTATCTACTGTTCCATAGGAAACTGCATATGTATGGATCAGGAACTTGTTAGAGGTATGCCTTATAAGCGTAAGCTCATCTTTTCCACGTTAATGGAGTGACCTGGTTGAAAACTTGAAATCAAGTATGAAAATTAAGTATTCATTCTACTCCTGTTGTGTTTTTCCATTGTCACCTGGGACTAGGAAGCTGATGTAATTATGATTTGCTTCTAGCTCTTTATTCTTCATCAGCAGCCCGCTTATCTTCTTGAACATCTGCACTTTGTAACAGGCGTCAGCATGAGGAAGAATTGAAATTATTGGAAGAGGAAAACTGCACTGAGACTTGAAGAAGCAATACGGAAAATGTCGAGGAGAAGCTAAGTTCAGAGGAAGTGAAGTTAGAAATAGAAAGGCGCATAGCAGAGGGTGTGAAGAAATTG